AAGAGAAAAGGCTATTGGAAATATTTGTTCCTTTTCTAACCATTTGTATGAAGCAGGCCTTCTCCCTATGTTTCAAGTAGAGAAACATTATAGCAGGTCAAATCCAAGAATCCATATTACAATGAAAGAACTTTCGCTTTCATTAAGAGCTAGCATTTCTTACCTGGATCATGCTATAGAGAAGCATCCAATGGCTTTGACTCCGTGTGGTGCTCCCGTGCTATCCTGAGTCATGCCTATCACACAGAGTTACACCCACCATTCCTTTTCTACACTAGGAAAGTCACCACAATAAAAAGGTCAGAAATGCCTTATTATGGTAATGAAGAGAGATTTTCCATCTTGGAGCCCTAAAATGATCGCAAGTTGGGTGAGGCTTCCAAAGACCTATAGACCAAAATTTAGGATGTACTGATGTCTACAAATGTAGACGTTTGCTTTTGATGCATGTGCTTTTGGATTTTAATGCTGGAGAATCAAAATCTGGGCCTTAAACACACTTCTTACCCCCCACTGAGCTATGTAGACCTTTATCTGCTACCTAAGACTTTTTTTTAAAGGAAAACAAACATACAGGTATGGCTATACTTAAACCCCAAGCTTCAAGGTATATCTAAAGAAGGCACAGCAAAGGAAGTGGGGTGGTCCCCACTGTAAGTCGAGTGAATAACATTGGGAAGCTGAGAGCTATATCAGGGATAAGGTGGGAGAGAAGGCTGGAGCTTTGCCACATTTATCTGAAATACTTACCTCTTTATAGCCCATATTTCTTGGGGTAGATTTTTTAAATATTTTATTGTTATTATTAAGGTGTTGTACAGAGGGGTTGTCATTTCATAAGTCACGAAATCAGTGACATTCCTTTCGTTTGCCAAGGTTACCCTTTCTTTTGCTTTTCCCCTATTTCCCTCTTCCGTCCCTGACCTCCAGTTTTGTAGTTTGTTTTCCACATAGTCTATACTGAATAACATGATTGCATTTTTTCACCCTTCCTCCTTTCCTTTCTGTGCCCCCGTCCTCCCCCCCCCACTTAAAAAACCCAAATGCCCGACAGCACCACCACCAAAATAATAGTAACCAAAAAACCCCATGTTTTAATAAATAGTATTTAAAATGTTCAGAGAAGTTATACCTTTGGGTTCTTCCACCAAGTATATCCTCCTCTAGTTTGTGTGTGAATGCCTAGCGTCCTGTTTTAAGTTATCATGTCCCATTATATTTTAGATCTAGCTTCCACATACGAAAGAACATATACACCATTTGTCTCTCTGAGCTTGGTTTACTTCACTTAGCATGATTTGTTCTAATTCCATCCACTTAAAAACAAAAACTTGCAACAAGAACAGAATCAAGCCATTTGCTTCTTAGATGATGCCAGTAATCCCAGCTACTCAAGAGACTGAGATCTAAGGATCATAGTCTGTAGCCAGCTTAGGCAGGAAAGTCTGTACAACTCATATTTCCAATTAAGCCACCAGAAACCTGGAAGTAGAGTTGTAGCTCAAGGGGTAGAGCACCAGCCTTGAGAGTATGAGGCACTGAATCCAAGACCCAGTACTGGCTCACACAAAACAAATCACAACCTCATTGTACAACTATGTATATAAGAATATATAAAATAAAATACAAAACTTTTGTATAAAAATATATAAAATAAAAACTTTTAAAACCTTTTTTTCTCCCCATGCACATTAAAAGACAATTTTAAAAAAGTCTTTCTTCAGTTCTATAGTAATATCTGATCATCTGTACAACCAGAGCTTCACTTTATATCTGTTACAAAGATTAAAACATTAGAACTGTTTCATTTTAAACTTAGAAACATAATGATGTTAAATTGCCCAAGGGGATATAAAGAGATTATATCTGATTTCTTTACCTCCCCTAATTTAAACTTGAACTTTTTTTTTTTTTTTGGTCAGGTGTGGGGCCTGAACTCTGGGCCTGGGCGCTGTCCCTCAGCTCTTCAGCTCAAGGCTAGCACTCTACCACTTGAGCCACAGTGCCACTTCTGGCTTTTTTTTTTCTGTTTATTTGGTGCTAAGGAATTGAATCCAGGGCCTCATGCATGCAAGGCAAGCATTCTGCCACTGAGCCACCTTCCTAGCCCAAAACTTGAGCATATTTAACTTTTCTTTTCTTTTTGTTAGTTGTGGGGCTTGAACTCTGGGCCTGGGCCCTGTCCCTCAGCTCTTCAGCTCAAGGCTAGCACTTTACCACTTGAGCCACAGTGCCACTTCTGGTTTTCTGGGTGATTTATTGGAGATAAGAATCTCATGGACTTTCCTGCCCAGGCTTTGAACCGTAATCTTCAGATCTCAGCCTCCTGAGTAGCTAGAATTACAGGTGTGAGCCACTGGTGCCCAACTTATTTAAACTTCTCTAAGAAATTATACCTTTAGAAGGATTTTAAAATTCAGACAGTAATGACAAAATTTACAGCATTCACCCAAAACTTATGGAAGACAGCCTTTATTTTTTGCTTAGAAAAAAGTTTGAGGCTGAATTGAGACTATTAAACTCTAAAATTTAGATGAATGGATCAAGAAAATGTGGTATATATACACAATGGAATTCTATGCCTCCATCAGAAAGAATGATATTGCCCCATTTGTTAGGAAATGAGTAAGCCAGCCCAAAGAAACTTAGGTCCCATGGTTTCCCTTATTTGAAATAACTAGTATATGTCTGAGTCAAGCAGAAAAGGTCAGATAAATTGATGTTAGGGAAATGAACCCTAAGATATGTATTCAAATGTTTTTTTCTTTCATGTGATTGTTTCTAACACATTTATAAGATTATTTCTTTGTTGCTTTGTATGTCCCTCCCCCACGGTATAACCCCTGCTTTCACTGTATTTGATTTTGGTATAATTTGTGGAGGGGAAGGGAAAAAACAAATCGTTTAAATAGGGATACAGGTGGACCCATTGCAACAATGAGACATACAAGTCATTATGTCGAAAATGAACTTTACAACTTTGGTGTGGGGGGAGGAGCGTTGAGTGGGGGGGCAGGGGGAGGATGGGATGGGAAGGGGAAACAAAGGAGGAGGCTACAATGCTTGATAAGAAATGTACTCATTGTCTTGCCCATGTAATTGTAACCCCTCTGTACAGTATTTTCACAATAAAAATAATAATAAAAGGAATGCAAAAGAAAAAATCTAAAATAGATAACATTTGTTAGGTAAAGCCCTGGTTATTTGGAATGGGGTTGGGCTGACATTTAATCATTGCACTATTCTTAGGGGTAAGGGGTCATAATAAGCGATTTAGTCATAAATAGAATTGTTCAAGGGGACGGTTGTCTTCTTTCAATAAAATGTCACAAAGTTAACTGCTTAGGACTGCTAATGAACATACCAATTTGAATATTAATCTTATTTATTACATTTGGGAACATTTACTAGGCAGCAGTTAATTCCCTTTTGCTTTGATATGTTCTTGAAATGTGTACTCATTTAAAGCTGTTCTTATTTAAATTTACACTAATTTAGGCAAGCCTTCACCCTTGCCCTTCATTTTGTCTGAATTAACAAGATCACACGGTGTTAATTGTGAACATTTGCCAAAACAAGATCAAGGCTATTAAAACTTAGTAAAATCATTATGGTGTTTATAATGAGGCCATTGGAATACTATAGTTTGGAGGATTTTATGAATAAAGAATGAAGTTTATATTTACATGATTGCAATGTGTCTTTTACTCTGTAATATGAAATTAACTGGTGTCTGTATCCACAATAGCACTGTTAAACACAGGAAGTTACTTTGCAGTATTTTTTTGGTTTTTGGTTTTGTTTTTGTTTTTGGATCCGGTTGTGGGGCCTGAACTCTGGGCCTGGGCGCTGACCCTCAGCTCTTTAGCTCAAGGCTAGCGCTCTACCACTTGAGCCACAGCACCACTTCCGGCTTTTTTCTTTTTGCTTATGTGGTGCTGAGGAATTGAACCCAGGGCCTCAAGCATGCAAGGCAAGCGCTCTACCACTGAGCCACCTTCCCAGCCCCTGCAATATTTTTTTACACCAAAGTTAGGGGGACGCAACCTACATGAAACTGTTAAAGTAATATGAAATCAAGTACTAAATTGCCAAGGGAAAAATGGGAGGACCAAATAAATACAAGATGACAACTGATGGCAGAAATGTACTGGTGAATGAATATGGTTCTATTAAGTTTCTTGTTTATTTGGTGTTTTCTGAGCATGTTCTTGTTCTCATTGGTAACAATTGCTGTTATTTCCATTTAGTGATACCAGAGATCAGGGGGTCTGGATCTGCAGATAAAAAGGTTAATCAAGCTATCGCTCAACAGTGGCCAGTTCTGAGACAACATTATTAGAAGCATAGAGACTGGCCTAGTAATCTAAATGTAAAGTTCATAGATGCTCAGATCTGGGTGACAGCAACTGAAATGGGGTTGAAAGAAAAGAAGCTTGAGGATCGATGAAATGGACTTGGTGACTAATGCAAGGGTATAGAAAGGCTAAAGAGGAGGCAAAGGAGGCAGAGATGACTTCATAGATTTCTGAGCCAGAGAGAATGAGCTGTGAAGGGTTGGCATTGCCAGATTTGGAGAGTTGGGAGAAGAAATGATGAAGCGATTAATTTTCAACTTGCTAACTTTGGGTCACAAGGAGACATCCTTTATAGCATGAAGAGAAGAGTAAGAGCCATGGGTACAAAGTCCTAACTTAGCAAGATCTAGCTCTTGGCCTAGTCTTGTACAGTTGGGGCAAAAGGAAGAGGAGCCATGGTAAAGGAAGACAGCCAGGACAGTAGGGCTTACTTGATCTCAGGGCAGGGCCAGCAAAGATAAGGTGATCACAGGAAGAAATGGTTTCTGCTAAGTGGAGGGGTTCACAGGTGAAGAGAAAAAAATTAAAAAGTGGGTGTTTTTTGTTAGCTGCCTCCAGGAATGGTTCCCAATTAGATTTCTGTAACCAAATATCATCATGGCTGTTCTGCTAGTAACCAGCTTATGTGTTTCAATCCTTCAGGTGGTATTGGAATGCTATGTAAGAAAGGACTTGGTCTACACCAAAGCCAATCCAACATTTCATCATTGGAAGGTTGATAATAGGAAGTTTGGACTTACTTTCCAAAGCCCTGCTGATGCGCGAGCCTTTGACAGGGGAGTGAGGAAAGCAATCGAAGACCTTATAGAAGGTATTGAACTTTTCACTGTACCCTTAGTAGGATGATGGAAATGCTCCAAGTTCTTGCCATCATATATTTGTGGTTTGCTCGTGGGAGGGTTTGGGACCAGGTCAGTAGATGTCAGAACTTTCTAAATATCTAGAGAGAGTAATTACAAAGTGACAACACAGGAGAAAATGAGGCGTTTTATTTTACATCTGGTCCTGGCCTGGAAGAGCCTCCAGACAGGAGTTCTCACACTGGGTTTCTCCAATTCAACACTTCAAGTCAGAGGGAGGATGAGAGGAGCTATATTCAGAGCCCTGAGAAGAAAGAAATTTCTAACATGCATATTAATGCCAAATCCAAACTTTGGGAAAACGAGTCACAAATAATGTATGTTTCATTAAAAAGACTATTCAAGTTTTTCTTTGTGATTTGGGAAAAGGAAAGCAAATCACTGCATTTAGCAGCGGCCTTTGCCTGTAATCATAGCAACTCAGGAGGCTGAGATCCATAGTAGAGAAAGTCATGGATGACCACTGGGAATTGCACAGAGGGTGCTATGGGCTTCATTTTGTCTCCTGTTTCCCTCTTGGAAATTCAATTTGTTTTGGGTTTTTTTTCCCCCTCATTCATTTCCAACAGTTCTTTTATTTACTTTTGTGTGTGTGTGTGCCATTACCAGAGTTTGAACTCAGAACCTGGGTGCTGTCCCTGAACTAGCACTCTTATCACTTGAACCACGGCTCCACTTCCAGCTTTTTTGGTAGTTTATTGGAGATAAGAGTTTCATGAACTTTCCTGCTCGGACTAGCTTTGAACTGTAATCGTCCGATCTCAGCCACCTGAGCAGCTAGGATTTTAGGTGTAAGCAACTGGTGCCAGCTTCAGCAATTCTTTTCATCTTTCATGTTATATCATAACAAAATACTTTGTAAGTACACATTGTATAAATAAACCATGACCAAGAAAAGGAAAAGACAAAAATTTTGGGCTGTCTATTGCCTATACAGATTTCAATGTTGGTTTTTTGGATATTGTTTTTGTCAGTGAAATTAAAGCATAAAGTGAACAAGAAAACAAGTTGAACTTTACTGACCTGGTTCATTCCATGGTAGAATAAGCTGGGTTTTCATACAGGAGCCTTCATTTTGACCTGAAAAGGCAATTATAAATCAGTGGGCTTCTGACAGTGTAAGAGAAAACCTTCCTGTTATGGCTTAGAACATAGTTCCTGCAATCTAGGTATTTTTGTTTCATTTTGTTCTGGTTTTTTTTTGTGCCAGTACTGAGGCTTGAACTCAGGCCAGTCTGCTCTCCCTGGGCTTTTTTCCCTCAAGGCTAGCAGCTACTCTTCTACTTGAGCCACACTTCTACTTCCCACTCTTTGCTGGTTAATTGGAGATAAGAATCTCATGGACTTCTCTTCTCAGGCTGGCTTCAAGCCGGGATCCTCACATCTCAGCTGCTAGGTATAAGCCACTAGGACCTAACTAATCCGGAGTTTAGAGTGTAGTATCTGAACTCAGAATGGGAGACTGCACAGCCAAAACTTCTTCGTCTCTAGATGAAGCTAATGAAGTTAAGTCCAATTGCCGCAGTCAGACTGGCGAGTCTGATTTGAGGGGTTCCCATGTAGGTGTTTTTCCTTCCACAGCTAGAATGTGGAGGTCATTACAAAGGAGTGCACCTTGACCTCCATGGTGCTTGTTTTCTGGTGGCCAGGGCACAAGCAAGTATGAGAGGTTAACTGGCAACAGCATCAGTAGGTAAAGTTAGTTGAGGAAGCATCCCAAAAAAGGCAGAGAAAAAGAAATGAAAAGCATTTAACAGGTAGCTTGTTTGTACTGGCACAATTCTTGTGCAAAAAGAATGGAATGTAATTTTTATTAAAATATGCTTTTTAGCTAGGCATTATAGCTCAGTGCTTGCCTGCATTTATAAAGCCCTAGCAGTGCAGAAAACAAAAAAAAAAAACAAAACACCAAAACAGCTTTTTAAATGATTGATTTCACTTACATGCTTTGGGAAAAAACTTTGACTTTTTTTTTTTTTTTACCTTCTTGTCTTTTTAGGTTCAACAACATCATCTTCCACGATTCATAATGAAGCCGAGCTTGGTGACGATGATGTTTTTACAGTAAGTTTTCTTTCACCTCTGCTTTCCATGTTAGGTGATGAGTAATCAAAGAAAGGCTCTGTCACCGCATCAAAAACCCTTTACTATGTGGCATTTGCCGTTGTCATATGGGTGCTATCAGAGAGATCTCAGTCTTGTCCCAGTCCAGCTGTTGCTCACGCTGCAGGGGTACCATCCGCCACACGGTACTAAGTGTCAACTCTCCCAGATCTGTCCAAAGTTGTCACAAAGTCTTCTCACAGATTTAGTGACTTAGCTGCTCTGGATCACGCTGGATAGCATCCGTGATAGTCCCTTGTCCTGGAAAACTCCTGGGCCCCTAGCAGACCAAGACAGTTGATCACCCTGCTAAGAGCTTTCTGTTCACACATTTCCCTGGCATGGAACAATGAGCCTGAAGAACCAACTCTTCCTGATGAGTAATTCTACATCTGATAAGAAGGGCCTAGAAGCTGAATGGAGGTTAGGCCCAAGTCTGCTCAGAGGGAAAAGTGCTTAGATGTTTTGACCCAGCTTGAGTTAATGAGATGTAACTGGGGACAAACTTGATTTCTCAGCTTGCTTCTTCATTTAAATCCTGTGCTTCTGGAGGTTAATTAACAGATACTTATTGCTTGCCTGTTGTGTGCTGAGAGCAGCAAGTTGCTGTCAGCTAGCATTTTCAAACTCAGCACCTTGATCCACAGTAAGAAAATGTTTTTGACCCAGGATTCACACACATCAGTAGCTACCTAAAAGCTAATCATACTTCATACTCTGCATCCTTAGTTCTTTGTTTCATTTTCTTGGGTTATTTATTACGAAACTCTCAAACACAGGAAAACGTAAAGCGTTACTTAGTGAAGAAATACTTGCATTAAGCCACACCTTGATTCAAGCACACTTGTTTAGTTGTCTGTGTGTAATTGCCCACATTTATGTACATATAGGCCCATGTGCACACACTCACAAGGGTTTTTTTTTTTTTTTGGTGGGGGGAGTAGCTGATTATTTGAAAGTAAGTTCTCCTAAATTCTTTATCATGCATATCCTAAAAAGTATTCACAGGGGAATTTTAGGGTAGTGAAACCAGTCTCTGATAGTATACTTGGTAGATGCATTCATTGTACATGGGTCCAAACCCATAGCATATACAACACCAAGATCAAAGTCTTATGTAAACTACAAGCTTTGAGTGATAATGATGTATAAATAAAGGTTCATTGATTGCAAGTAGGGTATACTCTGGTGGAGGGTATTGATAACAGGAGAGACTGTGTATTTGTGTGGCAAAGTGTCTATGGGGAGTACAGATACCTTTACTTAGTTTTGCTTGTCAATCTGAAAAATTGAACAAAACGGTTTTGTGTATATGCCAGTATTAGGGCACCCTTAGCTTTTTTGTTGAAAGCTGGTGCCCTACCACTTGATCACATATCTTCCACTTCTGGCTTTTTTGGTGGCTAATTGGAGATAAGACTCATAGACATTTCTGCCTGAGCTGGCTTTGAACCACAGTACTTAGCTCTCAGCCTCCTGAGTGCCAGCTAAGACATTTGTTAAATAAGTCATTTCCCTTTAATATCCCGAAGCAAATTAATAGGTATTTCATAATGTTATCTTAATACTTCTTAATTACCTAGTTATCCCAAAACTGTCTTTTATCACCTAGCTTTTATTCCCATCTTAAAATACTGTGTTGGGAGTAACCCGTTCAATTGTTTCTCAGTAGTGCGCTGATGATTTGTAACTAATGATACGAAAATCACTGCTTTGGAAATATACAGGGGTGTAAGCCATGTGTCCAACCCTCAGGAAGCTAATAGAATGGTTTGCAGAGGTGAGCTTGACTAAGAGAGCCCTAAGCAATTGGCAGATTGTGGGACACAGTCTGTGCTTGAGATGAGGAAGGGGCAGAGTCATAAAAGGCCTAACTGGTCTGTGCTGTGCCACTCTGACCACACTTAGTCTCATCTGATCTCAAGCTTGGATAGATCCTGTGGCATATGAACGTGGCTCTGAAAAGGACTCCATACGATGGAGCCCCAGGGGAGAAGGCACAAGCAAGAGCGAGTCAAGTGGTGGGTCGCCTGAGCAGCACCAGTCCTGGCTTGAGGCGAAGAGAACCTGCGTAGGGGGTTCAGGAAATGAACTCAGTTGCCCTTCCTTGGGGCGACTGGTGTGATGTGGCTCTGTACAGGCTTCCCCTCTCAACAGTTGGCATGTTGCTTACATCTGTTCTTTTGTCACGTTTTGGGAGACAAACAACAGCAGGCGGGTTAAAAGGTGGCTTCCTGTGCTCCAGAGCAAAACTGTCCCTCGCAGCTGCTTCTCAGCTACCTGCCAGAAGTGATTTATAGAATCGGGAGAGGTTGAGAGGGGAAGGGATGATGGAAGCCAGAATCCCTCCTGGTTTTGTCCTTTAATCCACAGGGGATCCACATGCCGTTCCAGGGTAATGCTGAACGCCTGGAAGAAAGTTTAGAAACAGCCCTGCTGTTTCTATGCAGTTGGAAATTCACAGGGGAGGGAGCTTGACTTAATGAATTACATTCCAAGTAGGCCCTCTTGGATGTGGTCAACTGCCCTGGTTTCACTTGTTTACAATCAAGGGCTTGTTAATAACATCCCTGCTTCCAGAAAAGCCCATATTTAGGCCTAGGCTGCTGATGGTTCGGGACACATCTCATGGAGAAATGGAAGGGAGGGTTTTATAAGCCAGGTTCCCATTTGTCCATGAGGTCCCTGTGACTAGACTTTGTGTCCCAAAGACAGTAAATAAGTCTGAAGCACAGAGCCAAGAAAGTAGGGGTGGGAGGGTGGGGCTGCTTTATCTCCTGTGTAGTCTACAACTTCCCAAGTGATGTTGTGTTCTAAAAAATCATTGCGAAGACAGATGTTTGAAACTTGGCACTCGTTTATCAAACAAAAGGGTATAAACAGTGATAAGACCATCATACAACTTACGATGAACCAGAGGACAACAGCCTGTCAGTGGAAAAATCTTGAGAGTTGTCACTCAAGAAATTGGGGGTACATCTTTTCAGTTTTCTGCTGCCAGGGCCAGAGATTTCTGTCTGGGGTGAAGGGAGGGGGGTGGGATTTCTTGGTGCTAGGAAGAAAACAACACACAGCAGATATGTGGGTGGCAAGAACACAAACATTTCTTAATGTATCTGCCTTGGGGAAGGTTGTGGTTTGGGTATGGCTAAGGGTTCACGTGTTGGAAGCTTAGTCCCCAGAGTAGCGATGCTAAGTGATGCAGAAACTTTCAGACGTGAGCCCTCTCGGGTGCTTATGTCACTGAGGGCACTGTCCTCATGAAACTACTGATTAATCTGTCGGAGAGACTTCCAGCCTCTGTGCATGTCACGTGATCTCTCCCACATTGATCCCACCGTTAGAATGCCTTCTTGAGCATGGCCCTCACCACAACCTAGCTGATGCAGGTACCATGACCTTGAACCTCCACAACGGTGAACTAAGTAAAATTCTCTGTAAAACTTCCAGCCTCTGGTATTTTGTTTCAGTATAGAAGAAACCTAGAAGGGACTTTCCGCCACCACCCCCAGTTATGTACGCCATAGAATGGTTTTATGGGTTGGGTCAGAACTCACAAGCCATGAGCTGTCTCTAGTCACATTTCCCCTACTCTTACAGTCATCCCCCAAACCCGCTTGTTTCCTCACTTCTCAGGATGAGGAGCCAGGTTGTGTTCCTGGAGGGAAATGCCCTTCCCGTGCAGTTGGTTGCCATTTGTCAACCCTGGCCTGTGGTCTCCATCACCACCCCAGTTTGACACACTGTCAGAGATTTCTAGCTAGCCACCGCACTGACTCTCTTAAATGTTGAGCTGTTTATCCTAATACTTCTCCTTCACCCAGTTATAATTGTTTCTTCTTTAAACTCCCATAGCTTTTTGGGTTTTTTTTTTTTTTTTTTTGTCATGGGGCTTGAACTCTGCATCTGGGCACTGTCCCTCAGCTCTTCAGCTCAAGGCAAGCACTCTACCACTCCAGCACAGCGCCACTTCCAGTTTTCTGGTGGTTTTATTGGAGATAAGAGTCCTACTGGGATCCTCAGATCTCAGCCTCCTGAGTAGCTAGGATTACAGGCATGAGCCACCGGCACCCAGCACATTTTGCTTTTCACTTCTCTCTTGCCCTTTTAGATGCTGTTTGCTGAATGAATGTTCATCTCACAGTTTATAAATAGATTACTTGTCATTGAAGTCTCTCTGTGCTGGTAAACCTTCACTGTTAGGTGTTGAATGATGGAATTGTGGATGATCTGAACCTCAGGAATATTGTTATAAGCACAGACTTCCCTGATTTATTTATCTACTTGATTGTTATTGTCAAGTACTGCTTAAAGTGGGTGATTTTGAGAGCTTTCTCAAATGATTCTTCCTGTATTTTTAGCTGCGATTTCTGCTCCGTCTGCAGTTAGGATCTGAGCCCTCAGCCTGGGTGCTCACCCTAAACTTGTGTTACTCTACTTCTTGTCTTCCCTCCTGCCTTGCATCACAGACCCTGCCCCCTCAGCTCTACATGGGGACCCAGGTGATAGCACAGCACAGCCCACAAACACAAAGGTGGCAGCGGTATCTCCAGCATTGAATATGGATGCATGAAGGAATTCCAACATCTGAGCCATTTGTTTCAAACTTGTAAACTAGATAGTGCAAAGAATATAAAACGGCAGCCGAGACTAGCATTTTATGACATAGGAGTCTGGGGCTCTGCGAAGAGATGGCTTATTTTTCTTGGTGCCTCCCACAGGTAAATAGGAACAGAGCTGAAAGCTGTTCCTTTACCGTAGGCTCCCTCTGTTGCACTCCGATGACTGACATGTCTTGGGGGAAGGCTCAAGTAAACTTGTCCAGTCAACACTTCAGCTCTGTGCATTCGCTTAACTAGTTGACTTTCCCCTAGCTTTAGGACATCTCCCTCCTGGATCCCTGCAGTTCAGGACCCTTACAAGAGACGGTTGGAAACAAGGTAGTGAGGAGAGAATATGGG